TGCGGCGCGGATGGGCGAGAAGCCGCCGGCTCAGCGGGGGGTGTGGATCGGGGGATATTGCTGTCCCGCGGTCCCAACTCCGCCTGCCCTCCCCGCAGGATGATCATCCCGGTGCGGTGCTTCACGTGCGGCAAGGTGGTAGGGAACAAGTGGGAGGCCTACCTGGGCCTGCTGCAGGCCGAGTGACCCCCTGCTCCTGATTCCCAGCCCTCTATCCTGGCCTCAGCCCCTCTCGCTGACCCCCTCCCTTCTGCAGCCCTTGTGGGGGGGGCTGTATCCCTGTTCCCCTTGCAGGGGCATTGGAGCCCCCCCACCCCAACCCCAACCCCATCTCTGTTTCCTCAACAGTGACGCGCTGGATGCCCTGGGTCTGAAACGCTACTGCTGCCGCCGGATGCTCCTGTCCCACGTGGATCTCATTGAGAAGCTGCTAAACTATGCTCCTCTAGAGAAGTAGTGGGGCCGGGGGGGCTGTATCCCTGTTCCCCTTGCAGGGGCATTGGAGCCCCCCCACCCCAACCCCAACCCCATCTCTGTTTCCTCAACAGTGACGCGCTGGATGCCCTGGGTCTGAAACGCTACTGCTGCCGCCGGATGCTCCTGTCCCACGTGGATCTCATTGAGAAGCTGCTAAACTATGCTCCTCTAGAGAAGTAGTGGGGCCTGGCTATGGGGAGGAGGTAGGCGGCCCCTTACTCCTAGCTACTGCTGCCTGCACTTTTATTAGACCTGATGATGCTTTAGCCTGGGATGGGCTTTGGGAAGGACCCCTGGGACACTTTTAGCCTGCCCCCCACTTTGCCCCCAGCACAGGGGGGTCCCCAAAAGCAAAGAGGGAGTCATACTTGTATGTAATAAATCAAGAGCAAGACCCTGGCCTGGGTGTACCTCCTTATTTTGTTGCCCCCCCAGGCAGTGAAGATGCCCATGGCCCAGATGTGCTCACCACTCCCAGAGCCCTACCCCCAGAGCTGGGAGAGAACCCAGGAGTCCTGGCTCACACCCCTTATTTTGCTTCCCCCTACCTCCCTCCTGTATAGCCCTCACCCCAGGATTAGGTCCTACCCCCAAGCTGAGCTCCATACAGTCTCTCCCACCACTCCTGTTCTGCTACCCCCTGCCCCAGCCTGCCTGTGCCCCCTGTGAGGCTGTGTGCAGGCTGGCAGGGGTTTTCCCCCATGGGAGAAAATAATCCTGGGTGCTCAGATGCCCTGGCATAGGGTAGGGGCCCCTAACAAGGTAGCTTGCGGGGGGGAAGGTTTAGGAACAGCAAGGCCAAGTGCCATGAAACCTCACATTTCCCTGTGCACATCCCAAACCCTCCCACCTGGCACAGCCCTCCCCACCCCCCCGCCATGTCCCTGAGGAAGGGGGCAGGAATCCATGGGCAACTGCCAAGGGCTTGGGTCCTGCCTTAGCTAGGAACTGGGTGGCGGGGGAGGGGGGAGAAAATCTCAGTTGCTTTTAAGATGGGGAAAGGACCCGGTCCCACCCAGCCCAGCCCAGCCCAATCTCACCTGAAGGGGAAATTCCTCCCGTCCCCACTAGCAGGTATTTTGCTCCCACCCCAGGGTAAAACCAAGGCCCTGGTGCTAGGCAGATCCTGCCCAGAAGCAGCTGGGGTAAATTTAAGACCAGGTAGGCATTGTTCTAAGCACCCAGTAGCAAATAGGGGGACAGTGGAGTGGGCAGAGCCACTGTGCTATATGGAGGGTCTAGGCCATGGACAGCTCATGATGGCTGTGGGTGGAGAAATTGGGAGTGTCCAGCACTCCCAAAATGGGCACCAGTGACCTAGAACCAGATCATAGACCTGGAGCAGGCGGGTGGTGTACAAACTGGTATAAGTCAGAGTGGTGAAGATCAAGATGGAGAACTCCAGAAGGATCTGGACCTACTGAGCCAATGTGCACCTCAATGGCAAGTGATTTTTCAATGTAGATTAAGTGTAAAGTGATGCATATGGGCAAAAATAATCCAAACTCTAGCCTACACTATGAGGGGCTCTACCTTAGTTGTCACCACACAGGAAGAGATCTAGATGTAGGCCAAATGCTAAATGCACCAGCTCCATGCTCAGCAGCCATCAAAAAAGTAAACAAAATGTTCAGGATTACAAAGAAAGGAATTGTGAACAAAAGGGAAAAGTACCGTGATACCCTTCCATAAATCCATAGTGCAGCCACACCTTGAATCCAGTTCTGGTCCCTGTACCTCAGAAAGGATCTAGAACTAGATAAGGTCCAGAGAAAGGCAACAAGGATGATCGGGGTATAGAGAGGCTTCTATTGGAGAAAAAAATTAAGAGGCCAGGCCTAGTCAGGTTAGAAAAGAGACACTTAAGGAGGGACATAAGGGTTTACAAAATGCTAAAGTGAAAGTCGATAGGGATTTACTGTTTACTGTCTTGCAAGACAAGGACTAGGGGGTCACAACATGTAACCAGTAGGTCATAAGTTTAAAAGTAACAAAAGGAAGCACTCTTCGACCCAGCATGTGATTCAAGTGTGGAAGTCCTTGCCACCAGCTACTCTGGAAGCTGACAGCTCAGCCAAATTCAAAACGGGGATGGACAAATCCTTGGAGGAAAGGGGCATCAGTAGCTATTGAGCACAGGAGTGTGGGGCACGGCCTTGGAATCAGCACTTCCTGGACCTTAAATGCTGGAGGCTGTGAGTGAGAGAAGAACAGTGGGGAAAAACCCTGGTCATGCCCTGTTCTGTGTGCTCTCTGTCTGTGTGACATGAGACTAGGCAAGATGGAACTATGTGACCCAGTAAGTGGCTGTTCTTATGCATGTGGGTTCTAGATTTGGTTCTAAACCACCCTTGGCACTGCTAAGAACCATCAGCAGTAAGTCCCTCCCCCTTGAAAATATCATGTGCAGCCCAGGGACTGGCTGAAGGACCTTTTTAGAGCAGCTGGGCCCAGAAGCGCACCAAGGGGATGAACTGGGGGGTGGCAAAGCCAATGAGTGGTAGTAGGGGTCTAAACCATGAGCACCCTGTTGTGGCCACAAACAGAGAGACCTAGGACCCGCAACCCAGAGGCAGGAGTCAATTGAGAACCAGCGTATGGAGCCCATAGATGGGGATCTAGAACACTGGGGTGGGTGGGGCACAACCAGGTCTCTGGGTCCAGGCCAAAAAACATCAGGCTGAAATATCACCAAGGACATTCAGGTGTGTGATAGAGGAAGAACCTAACCAGGAGAGTGGTGAGGTGCTGGGGCAGACCAGGGCTGGAGACCTCTCCCTGGCTGGAAGTTCAAAAGGGAAGGAGGACAAACATGGCTCAATGGGTCATGGCTAGGGCAGGGTAACTGAGAACTAGAACACCTGGGTTCTCTCCCAGCTCAGGGAGGAAAGTGGGATCTGGCAGGTTAGAACAGAGTGGGCTGGGAGCCAGGATACCTGGGGTTCTCTCCAAACTCAGGAAACTGGTGTCTGGTGGATTGTAGCAGAGAGCCCAGATTCCTGCCTTCTAGCCCTAGTTTTATTCCTGTTCCTTATCTGCTCTGTTTTGAGGCCTCACAACTTGGTCATGAGTATCATTGACTATCCCACACAGGACTGGCTGCAATTACAGACTTATAAAGGGCCAATGTCCTTAAGAACAGAAACTTGGGAGATATTTAGTGGGAAAATATGCAATAAGCTAAAAATATGTCACTGGCTGGCCAAAAAAATGCTGTTGGCTACAAGCTGTGTAGGCAGGGAAGGATCAAAAAGCAACTCAGCTGAAAAGGCAAGGCAAGAAATGAATTGGGAAAAGATAAGCCCTGCCCAGACAGCAGAAGCAGAGGACTGTAGGAAATGGAAAAGAGAAGCTAAAGGCCACAGGGGCTTAACTCTGTCTGGGAAAATTGAAGACAATGAGGAGGTTGGGTACCATATCTTTTATGCAGGGCACCCCAGAATGAGGCCCCTGCTACATGCTACATATATTACATAATTAACTGGTGACTCGTGCAACAAATTTAGACCAGCCACATGTGTAAAGTAATTATCACACCATAAAAAGGACTATCCAGCTCTAAAAGAGCCAACCAGCTATCAAGTTAATGCTTGAAAACGTCTAACAACTCCATAGCTGGTTCTTTTTCAGCTTTCATTTGAACATGTGTACCTCCTTCACTTTGAATAGCAAAACAAAGGTCTTTCCTTGTAGTAACGTGCCTGGCACCAGCAAGATTTACATACTGTTACTTCTGATTTAAGTGGCAGAAACTGTTCTTACTATATTTCTCACATATAATGTGCACTCCAATTTCCAGCAGCTGTTTCTTCTTGGGTGGGGAGGTGTGTGTTTTTATGTCAGGAAATACAGTGTTTTTAGGAGATAAAAGGGATCTTATGGGATGGGCACATCTGTAGTTGAAGCCCCTTTCAAATGGGCAACAGCTGTTAGGTTCAACAGCTGTGGACAAGCTGGGAGCAATACAAATGCAGCAAAACTACTGCAACTTTAACCCTAGCACCACTTGGATGACCCACAGCTGAAAACTGGGGGCTCTGTTGTGGATACAGGCTGAGGGATGACCCTACCTCATGAGCTCCCTAGTTGAAAGAGACAATGCACAATTAAAACATAAGCAGTCACTGGCTCTTCTGAAGCTTCTCCAAATCTCCTGTGACCCTACCTTTAGCAGCAGAGCTGAGGCACTACCCAACAGAGAATGGTGGGTTGTCAACAGAAAGGGGACAGCCCTCGAGTACTTCAAAGGAGATGCCAGAAGCTCTTGGCATGGGGTAGAATGCCAGTGAAAGGCTTCCTGATCCACTAGTGTTTCCAGAGGATGTCAATCTGATTCCAGCAAGTCCAGGTGCCTTACATCCAAGAGTTTTTAAAGAGGTGGCCAACAGCAGGACAGAGCTTTCCTGGGATGTCTGGGAGCGCTGGGACAGTTCCAGAGAAGGGGAAGAAACGCTCATGTGGTACCAGCAATGGAGGGCAAGACAATGGCCTGGTATAGATTTGGGGTAAAGAGCTACTGCTACCAGGCTGAGGTAAAAGAAGATGGCAGAGTTCATACCAATCCAGATAGGCTTATGGAACATAGGCTTTAGCAACCCAGCTGGACCCCTGACTTGGAGGAATGAAGGGACAAGCAAAGGTGGAAGCACTAATATAGCAGAAGGCAGGGTTAAGACCCCTTAGCCTCCCAGGACTTGTAGCCCCTGATGCAGTGCCCACCCCATATCCCACAGCAGTGGAGGTGTCAGACCATGGCAATGTGCTTGGAGGGGCACAGGCCAGACAGGGCAAAAGGGTAGGAGTGCCCTTAGGGGAGTTGACACTGGAGGAAACCTAGGTGCTATTGAACTGGGGGAATGTGCTCGCCCCAGCCCTATACCCACGCCCATCTGGAGTCCAGCCCAGATGGGTAGGGCTCCAGCTCTCCCCTATGTATCTCTACCCCTGGCACTGCCTGCAGTGCCACAGAGGTTCCCACCTCTGAGCCCCCATCCCAGGTGAAGACCCCACCCCATGACCAACAGCCACCCCCCCTGCACGTTCCTGCTTCCTAAATAATATGATATGCAGAATAACTCCCCCCCCCACCCCCACACACACACACACACACACACACACACACACACACACACAAATTGTCTTTATTTACACCTACGATACAAAAGTGACAGTGAGCAGAGGTCTGAGATTGCCTCTTTCTGCTTCCTTCCTGCCCACAGCACTAGGAAGGCCTCATCCCCACCTGCCACCATTTACCTGACCTGAGGAAAGCACCCAGATCGATGGCATCCCCCACCCCCATGGCTTTGAAAGGTGCATAGGCCTCACCCCCAAGGAGGAAGGGGTGGGGCTAAGCCTGCATGACAGGGCGGGACTTCTTGGCTTCCAGACGCACCCCAGATCCTGCAAAGCCGGTGCCACCCTGGAAGTGAGAAAGGACAGGGCAGGGGTCAGAAGACATGGATACACCCCTCAGTCCTTCTCACATGCTCAGACTGGCTCAGGCCAGTCCCTGATGGTGGGAGCAGCCAGAGGTGCCCCTAGAGGTGGGGAGAGGCAGGACAACCACAGGCAAACCTCACTCCCACTCACCCGCTGCAGCACAATGATGTCATCCTCACACAGCTTCTCCTCAGTAAGGGGGTCCACCATGTCCTTACGAATGAGATGCTCCACACAGTCCAGAGTCACCACCGCGCCCCTGCCCAAGGGGAGGAGTCAGGACTTGGAGGCCAGTGCCCCATGCCCTCCACCAGTATTGCAGAAGCTATCCACCCTCAGCCTTCTACCCAGCCTTGCTGGTGCCCCTCACTCCCAACCTGCAATACCCTGCCCCCACAACAGCCCTGCCAGTGCCCCTCACTCCTGACCTGCAGCCCCCTGCACCCTCTCTTCCACAGCCCCTCTGGCCCCGTCAGCACCCCTCACTCCCAACCTGCAGCCCCAGACTCACGAAGGGCGGAGCACAGCACAGGGCACCGAGTTGCCCAGCATATCATGGGTGACAGCACAGATGTAGCGGTCCTGCCGGTTGATCAGCCCCACCCGGTCCACAGAGGGGTCAGCAGGGGTGAAGCACACGGGTGTCAGGTCCTTCATCTTAAGGGGCTTCCCACTCATGGGGCAGTACACGCACTTGTCCTGCAGGGGGCAGCTGGAGTTGGAGTGGGTCTGGACATCTGGATTCTCTCCCAACTCTGGTATGGGAGTGGAATCTGGGGGAAGGGTGGGAGCCAGGACACCTGTTCCAGGCTCTAGAACAGCAAACCTCAGTACCGTTCCAGATTTCCCATGATTTATTCCCCCACATGGGTGGACAGTGGTTTATGAGTGCACCCTACCTCAGGAAAGGGTGGGGGGCAATATAGAGTGGGAGGCAGAAGCCAGCCCTACTCCCAGCTGCTTAGGCTAGGGCCCTGTAGGGAGGTGGGGGGGTTGCTAGATGGCTGGGAGGAACATGGACTGGGAAGGTGGGGGCTAAGATGCTGGGGGAGGGGAAGAACTGGGGAAGCAGGGTCTCAGGGCAGCCAGAAGCGGTGGTCTCTACAACACTCACTGGTTTGCGCAGGACACTGGCCTTTGCTTCAGGCGTCAGTGAAGGGATCCAGAAACTGGGAAGCTTCTTGTCCTTGTCCTCGCTGCTGGTGCCAGGCTGGGCATCCCCTGAAATTCACCACAGTCACTCACTCCTGATCCAAGGTCCCCTGTTCCCCTGGCCTGGCCCCACCACCCCTGCCAGTGCCCCTCACTCCTGATCCACATCCCCCTGCAGCCTTACTAGTACCCCCTCACTCCCAAACTGCAGTCCCCTGCTTCCCCCCAAACCTGCCAATTCCTCTCACTCCTGACTCAGCCCCTTGCCCCTCACCCTGCTCAGTGTCCCTCAATCCTGCCCTGCAAACCCCCCCACCCCCCAGTACCCCTCACTCCCAACCCTCACACTGCTGCCCCACCCCCAGCCCTGCCTGTGCCCCTAACTCCTGCCCCAGCTCACCTGCTTTGCGCTCAAAGGGGTTAAGCGGCTTGCTGATGATGCTCATCTCCTTGTCCAGGAAGCCCCTCACCTTGGACTCTTCAGCCGCCCGGCTCAGCTCCTCCAGCTCTGTTCTCTTCTCATTTTTCTGCTTCTCATAGGCCTGGGAAACCAGTGGGAGGGAACCCCTCAGATAGTGAGGGGCCTGGCTAGAGGGAACCCTGCCCAGACCTGCTCCCCAGACCCACCCCCTCCCTACAATCAGTGCCAGGTCTTGAACTTGTGGTGTCCAGGTCCTTCATTGTAGACTTTGGGGACTACAGCAGACCCAACTGCTCGCTCCATCGGGACTGGACCCCTCCTCAAGGGGTGTTTCCCCACAGGGCCATAGGAGGAACTAGGAAAATCCAGCCTGCTCCATGATGCCCTTCACAACCCAACCCCCAGCCCCCTAGCCCTCCACCCCAAAGCCCTGAACTCCCCAGTTCTGCCAGTGCCCCTCACTCCCAAGTAATAGCCAGCTGTGCTAGGTCCCACAGTCCTGACCTGCATCCCCTAGCCCTGCCAGTGCTCCTCACTCCTGACCCACTGCCGCTTCCACCCCCAGTCCTGTCAGTGCTCCTCACTTCCACCCTGCAGTCCTCACCTCCCATGTCTGCACCTCTGTTCCCAAAAGCAAGGCCTTCCCAGCCCCTTCACCTTTATCTGTCGGGCAATCTCCTTCTTCTGGTGCAGGATATACTCCAGGATGACCTCCTTCTCGTAAAGGTACCCGTCAGGGCTAGAGGAGTGAGATGACATGGGTAGGGGGAGATTGAGATGCCAACCTCTCTGCACTCCCATGTGTCAGCTGGAGACACCCTCTCCATTTCAGGGGGAACCTGCCAGCTGGAGACCCAGCACCTCTGGCCTGCCCCAGAGCAGCTCAGCCTCCTGCTGTCTAAAGGCAATAAGGAAGCAGCAAGAGTTCTGCCCTCTCTCTTCCTCTCTTGTGTGACTCCAAGAGTTGGAGCTTCAAGGGGAAATACACCCCTGGATACCACCAACCTCAAAGGACTAGTGTCAGTGAAACTGAGCAGAGAAGAGATGCCAGGTAAGATGAAACCCCCACAAGGCATGGCTGCTGGCACCTGGGTGATCCTCTCCTTTTATACCTCTGCTAAGGCCCAGGCCATGGCCATCTCTGCTCTCCCGCACCTTCCAAATCTCCTTTTTCCAGATACCTACGTGACCACAGGGTCTTTGCAAGGCTGCAGTGAGAGGCAGCAGCAGTCAAAATCCTTGATGGCATCTCGGCTCAGCCGCACATTCTGGGTACCGTAACCGGAGGCAGCTACCAAAGGAAAGGGTCAGAAGAAAGGGGGGGAGGAGGGGGGATGAGAAAATGGAAGGGGAGAGGGGTGACACTGCTTTCTCCCCACCTCCCCCAGCCTTGACACTGCCCCTCACCCCTGCCCCACAGTCTCCTTCCTCCCGACAAGCCTTGCCAGTGCCTCGCACACCCAAACTGTAGCCTCCCAACTGCCCCACAGGCTCACCTGTGTCCTTCTTTTTCTCATGGTAGGTGTAAACAGCCCCTGCGGTGCAATTCTTGCCGTGGCGGGTCATCCTCACTCAGGGTCCCCGAGGGAAAGAAACGCAGAGGGACGCAGTGTTGATCCCAGATCCAGGGCCCTGGTGGGGTTGAACCTCTCAGGTAAGGGAGGTCCCAACCCAGATCTGCAGTCCTGTCCCACCCAGGGGATGTGACCAAGCACAGACCACCTCAACACTCCTAGGGAGGCTGATCCCCTAAGGTCTGGCTATGCCTCAAGTCTTTCTCTACCACCCAGATGCGACTTATGACCCTCTGCTCCCCTCCCACAGGAGGTGGGCAGGGGCAACCCAGGGGAAGGAGAGCCAAAGTGATGGGCCGGGGCAGGGCAGGGCAGCCTTTACTTCCACCCCAAGGGCCAAGACAGAGGAGGGGGGCCAGAGGAACACCAGTTGTGAGGGCCCCCCAATCCAGAGCCCTATTGTATATCCCCAGCATAAGGTGGGCAACGGAGTTTGTGCACCTCCAGTGTAAAGGAGAATCCCAGCGCCCAGGTTGGGAAGAACCCAGGCGTCCGGGCTCCCCACGCCACGCCCCCTCCACAGCTGGAAGAGAACCCAGGTGTCCGAGCTCCCCGCCCCTGAGGTCAGGGCGACGGCGAAGTGGGGGAGGGTTTTCCAGCTGCACACCCCTCGCAAGGCTCCAGCCTTTGCCTCACCTGCCACCTACCCTGCCAACCGGAAATGGCGACAGCCGGAAGTGTCCCGTACCTCCCCCGCCCCGAGCGGGGCCCTCAGGAAAATAAATCCGACAGAGGGAACAGGGAGCGCGGCCCACGGGTTCCGCGTCGCCACGATTCCGCCGCGGCGGACGCGAAACTGGCGTCCTCCCGCGCCGGGGTTTGCGTGGAGCGGAGGCCCCGCCCAGAGCTGGGGTTGAACCCAGCCTCCCGACCCCTCCCAGCATCCCGCCTCAGACCCCAAACCGCTCGCAGAGCCAGCGCGGAAGCTAGGCGTCCGGACTCTTGGCGCTCAGCGGGAACCCGGGGCTCGCAGCCATGCCCCCCTCACCCCGCGCTTGCAGATCCCGCACAGAACCCAGGCTTCCACCCGCGTTTCTTCCTAAGGCCCCTCGTTCTGTGGAGGCTGTTGGGGCCCCGATGTGGGGTGTCCCCAGGCCGGCAGGCGCGGGTGGAGGGGTCCCTGGGTCCCTCTATACTACCAATTGGGAGGGGGGGTCGCTGCCCCAGCTCCGTCCCACAACGCCCCCCCGTCCCCTAAGGCACGCACTCACCTGCCCCTCCTCCACCATGTGACCTTTGGCCCCTCCCCCGCCCTCACCTGCCCGGGAGAGCCCGGGAGTGCGGGCGCTCGGGACGCACCAGCCTCCGGAGGGGGGAGCAGAGAGGGAGCTGCGGAGCGTGCGGGTGGGGTGGTGTGGACTTGCCCCCCACCTTGGGGGGCACCTGGACCGCCCCCCCCACAGCCACAGCTGGATCGGGGCCCCCCACAGGTAGACCGGGACGAGCTGGGGCAGGGAAGGACACAGCGCCTCCCAGCGGCTGCCCCCTCTCGGGCAGGTGAGGCCGCCCCGACTCTAGAATTGGCGCGTTTCATTTGCCCCCACCCCCGGCCAA